ATATGTCTGCAGAAGGGCATCCATCAAAGCACTGCTCCTAATGGGGACTATCGGCAGCAACTCTGACACCCATCGGCAAGAGAGCTGGGCATTCTCGAACATGTTTCAACCCAGGAGAGATCTGCTGTTGTCTGGTCCGGTGAAGTTCTTCCTTATGGTTTCAAATTGATCTTGGTCTTGTAAAAAAAAAAAAAAGTATGTGTAATATTTATGATTTGTTAAGGAAGTACTCCCAGGAGTAACTGGTTCATAGGCTGGGGAAGAAGCCAAGTGAATGCAGCCTGAGCCCGCAGGGAACTCTGGAGCAAAATTAGTCTTCAACAAATACTGCATGAAGCCACTTACAGGAGGTCCCCACAATGGGCAAAGTCATGGAGAATTAGAGTGGAGGTTGCCAGGGGCGGGGGAGGGGGAAATGGGCAGTTACTGTTTAATGGGTACAGAAGTTCAGTCTGGGATGATGACAAAGTTCTGGAAAGGGGCAGTGGTGATGGTTGCACAATACTGTGGACGTGTTTAATGGCACTGAACTATATATGTGTAAGATCATTAAAATGGTGACTTTTATGTTGTCGTCAAATAAACAAAAATTCACACTCACATACACAAAAAAATTACACCAGGTTTGTTGAGGGCCTTCACATTCCTGTATCAAACAGCACCTCTGGGCCACCCTTGATAATGGAAGGATGTCAATTTCCAGGCCTCTCCAGTTCTCTGTGAAGAGGCCCAAGGAGCTCAGAGACTGTGCTCGGAACTCACCCAGGCGAAGAGCACACGGTATGGTCCGCGGGGTGGGGAAGACCCAGGGTGGGCACCCACAGTGTCTGCCCCCCATCCTCTCAGGTCACCTGCACCGGCTGGTCAGCAAGTTACATATTAGGGGAATCGCCAGTCACCTGACCACACTCCTCCGTCACTCAGGATTTGAAGAAGATAAGCCCACGCTAGGGAGCAACATGGGGGATTTAACAGAGGGAGTTAGTTACAAAGGTGTTGGATGAACCGAAAGGGCAGGGCAGGTAAAGAAGACAGAGGGGCAGCAGTGGCTTTCAGTAGATCTGCCTGTTCTGTTCCCCACTCTGTCTCTGGTGAATCCTCTCACCCCCCTGCACCTCTGGCCCGTACCCCAGCTCTTGTGTGCATAAATAAAGTTAAAAAAAAAAAAAGAAGATGACAGAGGGGATATGAGTGAGCGGAAAAGTCACGAAGGTACCTGGGATTAGGGACAGGATGGTGGGAACACAGCGAAGGGGCCAGACCTGTGAGGCATAAGGTGCACCCAGATGTCAGGTGACCTAGGCAGAGAGAGAAGGGAACTGACCAGGAGTCCGAGGCAGCGGCTGCCCCACAGCAGAGCAGGGAAAGAGTGAAGAGCAGGTCTGCACAAAACACCACTCTTCTCTGCGCCAAAAACTACCAGCTGCAGTTGTCTGTGTGCCAGGACTGGACCAGATGTCGTTGTTCAGCCTGGACTAGCACACAGTGTGGGGCAAGATGGAGCTGCCTCCACCCAGAGGAGAAAGTGTCCACTCAGGAAGGCTCCTGGAGCCCCTTGCGTCCCTGGTGCAAAGCAGGAAAAGCTGCCCTCCAGGCAGACACAGCCCTGGGCACATGGCGGCAAGCAGCCAGGTGAGCTTCACTCTCCTGGGCAGGGTGGAACTCTTCCCACCTGGGCCTGGGGCCTGCACCCTGTCTCACAGAGCCCCCCACCAGAGGGACAAAGGCTCCTGGGCCCCATTTGACAAATATTTACTGAGCAACTACTAGGTGCCAGGCATTTCTTCTAGGCCCTAGGGAGGCAACAGTGATGAAACCTAAAAATTTCTGCCTTCAAATATGCCAACATGTCAGTTACACTCAGAGGCGGGCAGCGGTTCACTGTGCTCGTCTGTATTTCTGAATTCATTCACTTAAAAGTTAGAAGAAAATAATCTTTGCCTTCAAAAGAGACTAAAAATAGGGTGTGTGTGTGTGTGTGTGTGTAGTGTGCTAAGTGCTAAAAAAACACGAAACAGGAATGAGGATGGGAAGACAGAAAAAGCCCATTGGAAAGTATATGTGGAGATTCCAATTTTACAAGCAGGTTTCCCCACTACTGGAAAGTAGAAGGTTCCTATTTGGCAGGTTATTTTTTGGCTCCAGGAACTGCTTACACTATTAATTTACAGGGAAAAAATTGAGCATTCCCAGATCAAAATAAACCATTAAATCATACTGAATAGGAACCTGTAGTGCTGTTCAGAAACTCCTCAGGGCTCGTGCTGTCTGGGAACCGCTCTGAGGGAGTCCAGAGGTCCATCGGCTTTATTTGCCGAGACGTGTGGCCGAGGGCACAGAAGACCTACAGGCCCAGCACCCTCCCAGCAGGAAAGCCAGTGGGAGGCCCGCAGTGGGAGCACCCCGCCCCCTGGGTGCAGGGGCTGAGAAGGCCCAAGTGCACCAGGAAGCGCCGTGGCAGGAGATGAGGCGGGCTTCGAAGGCCACTGCAGGGACTGCGGCTTTTACACCGAGTGACAAGGGTGCCCCTGTGCAAACAGGATCTGGGGGCCGCCTGGCTAGGTAAAATGCGCGCATCTCCCAGGGTGCAGGCGCTCTGTGGATTCCCTGTTGCTCAGAAGAGTCTAGTGGACCCATCAGAGACTGAGACCCGCGTGGGCTTAGTTTTCCCTTCCGATTTTGCCACTTTGTCTTTCCAACTTGGCAAAAAAGCCTTTAACCCGTTCCTGCCGGTGTGCGGGCTTGTATTGGCGCAGACGGGGAGGGTAGGGCGCGAACCTCCCGGGACACTCCTTGGCCCACGCTCCGCGGATAGCAGGTCTCTCCGGCTCGCCCACCAGTCTCTGGCCACCTTGCGGGTGCCCCTGGGGCAATCACCCCCACAGGCCGAAGGACACCCTTCCCCACGCGCCGCCCCGCAAGGCACAGGCTCCGCAGGAAGGGGCGGGCACTGCCTGGCGCCCCGCGTTGCCATAGCGACCAGCGTCCAGGACGCCAGAGCGCGCTGTTCCTCCCGCCGCGTGGGGAGACCCCGGCCTCCTGCCCGCCCCCCACCACCGACTCTGAATCCAGGTACTGCCCTGCAGGTGAGCAGGTGAGCGCAGGTGGGAGGACGCAGGTGGGGTGGGCCCGGGGCTCGGGAGGGACCCCTAGTTGTCTGGGCCGTGCCCCCTCCACCTTTCCTCCAGGTAATCATTGTTATCCCGTGGCAAAATCCCCGGGCCCTGGGCGTGTGGCTTTGCAACGTTGTCTTCTCCTGTCCTAGCTCTGTCTTAAGACCGCAGCCTCCTCTTAGGAGAACCGATGCTGCCGAAGTTTGGGGCAAGCGTGATGTTATGTTGCATGGATGATGTATTAAGCAGCCAGTGACCCCGGGAGCAAGTTGGTAGAGGAGCAGTTCTCTTCCAGTTCCCAGGAAGCCGAGGGAAAGCATCAGGGTACGAGGGCCAGCAGCCTGGCTCAGCAGCTGCTACGTCAACTGTAAGCCCTACAGCGTCTCACCTAGACAAGTCGGCTTTGTAGTCGTTTTATTTTTTTTTTAAGATTTATTTTTTAAGACTTATTTATTTATGCATACAAGAGCTGGGGTACAGGCCAGAGGTGCAGGGGGGTAGAGCATTCACCAGAGACTGAGTGGGCAACAGAACAGGCAGATCTACTGAAATACACTGCTGAGGGGAGCAGCGGGCGAGACAAGATAGGTCTGCTGTGCCATGTGGGTTGCTCCCTGGCCGGGGTGCTGCAGTGGCTGCTGATAGCGTCATAGGTTGCAACTTAAGTCCTTAGGCCACCAGGGAGGCCCAAGATGTATTTATTTATACAAGAACTGGGGTACAGGCCAGAGGCACGGGAGGGTGAGATAATTCACCAGAGACAGAGCAGGAAGCAGAACAGGCAGACAGACAGAGAACACTGCTGAGGGGAGCAGCGGGCGCAACAGAAAAGGAATCTCCCTGGCCCACCAGGAATCGAACCTGTACTGGGCAGGCTGTGGGCAGCTTCAACTGAGCTCAACCCACTGCGCCACCGGGGAGGCCCCTATTTTTATTATTTTTTTAAAGACTTATTTATGCATACAGAACTGAGGTACAGGCCAGAGCTGCGGGGAGGGAGGCTAGGTGAGAGGATTCACCAGAGACAGAGTGGGGAACAGAACAGGCGGATTGACGGAAATACACTGCTGAGGGGCGCAGCGGGGAGACAGGAGAGGTATGTTGCGCCACGTGGGTTAGGTCCCTGGCCGGGATAAAACTGGTGCTGCAGTGGCTGCGGACAGCTTCATTGTGTTGACACGTAACCCCTGCGCCATCAGTGAATTCATTTAAAGATGAATCACAGTACAGTGGTTCTTGGAAACGTTGAGAAAAAGAAAAACCTTAAATTTAGGATGTGGAACCGCTGCACCCTCCCAGGTTTTGCCCTTGCTGTTTCCTGATCCTACACGTCACCAGCAAACTCAGTAGCAGCGAGTGGCTAGCCAGCCTGGCGGGACTCCAGGGGCCCTGATGCAGCCAGGAGCCAGCTCCTCCATGGGTGGGGACCTGCTCATAAAGGACTAAGAATTTGAAAATGGTGACAGCAGAGCAGCAAACCCAGTAGGGCCCTTCTAAGGCAGCAAGAGTTCGATCCCCGGCCTGGGAGCTGAACTACATGGCGCAGCAGACCTCTCCTGTCTCTGCGCTGCTCCCCTCAGGGGTGTATTTCAGTTGATCCCCCTGTTCTGCTCCCCACTCTGTCTCTGGTGAATCCTCTCATCCCTGCACCTCTGGCCTATACCCCAGTTTTTTTTTTACCCAAAAGTAAGAAAAATTTTTTAAAAATAAAAATTAAAAAATGAAGTCAGCATTCCCGCTGCTTGTCACGCTGGGTTTTAAGTGTGTGGCCCTCGCCCCCCACCCCAGGGTCACTTTCTCCTGATGCCATCACAAACCTCCCTGCTGTCTCCCAGGGTTTCCAAGCAATTGTGCCATCAGAGCCTGTCTGCTGAGACCTCTGGAAAAGCCAGGGAGGGAAGCCGAGGGCCAGTCCAGCACAAAGGATATCACCAGGGCTGCTCACCCTCCTGGGGACTGAGAACACATGACTCACCCCACCTGAGCTCAGACAGGGGTTCCGGGGGATGCCCCGGGATCTAGGCATTACGTGCCCACTGAGCCCAATGCCCCTGCGCCCCCGCCTGTGGCTCCGCAGGAGCAGCCAGCATGCCTCTCTCCAAGCACCCGCAGAAGGCGCAGCCCTGGTGGAAGGAGTGGGACCGCAAGGCCCAGAAGAGCGGACTGAGGCACCAGGTGTACGCCACCAACGGCGACTGCTACGTGGGCGAGTGGAAGGACAACCTGAAGCACGGTGAGGGGCCCTCGGCGCGGGCTGCTGGGGTCCGGACCGAGGAAGCGGTGCATTGCACAGAGCTCGCTGGGGACAAAGCCGTGTCCCCAAGGGGGGCCAGCCAGGGACCCCCTACACTGGGCTCTGGAACAAAACTCAGCCCGGACGCCAGCTGAGACAGGTCTCAGGCCAGAGTGGTCCTGAGAGACCCGACGCGGCCCAGCTCTGGGCGCCCAAGCTCAGCCCCTGCCTGTCCTCGCCACGGCCGGCTGAGGACGCGGCAGCCCCAGAACCAACTTGTCATTGGGATTCTGGTCTTCAGAGGACCCTGATATCCCGAAGGCTGATGTGGGCAGGGAGGGAATGTGGGGGGGAGGCCCCCTACCCCAGAAGTCGCTGGGCTCAGATTTAACTGGGCTGAGCTCTGGTCTAACCAGCAGCGGGTCAGGGGAATCTTTGTGCTACCAACTAAACCCAGAAAAACATTTTTTTTTATTCCAAAAACCCTGTGGTGTGGCTTCCGGAGCTTGCAGTTCCAGAGTCTGTGCTTTTTTTTTTTAAAAGAAACCTATTTTTTTTTTTTTTTTTTTTTTTTTTTATAAGCATGCTTTATTTATTGTTTGTTTGTTTGTTTATACATGCACTGGTACAGTCAGAAGCACGGGAGGGTGAGAGAATTCACCAGAGCCAGAGCGGGGAGCAGAGCAGGCAGAAGGACGAAGTACACTGCTGAGGGGAGCAGCGGGCGGCAGGAGAGGCCTGCACACCATGTGGGACCCTCCTCCAGTGGCCGGGAGCAGCCAGGGATCGAACCGGCACCGCAGAGGCCGCGGGCAGCTTCGCAACCCAGCGCTCAACCGCTGCGCCACCGGGGAGGCCAGAAACCTATTTTTTTTTTAAAGATTTATTTATTTATTTGTGCATACAGGAACTGGGGTACAGGCCAGAGGTGCAGGGGGTGAGGGGACTGACCAGAGACAGAGTGGGGAGCAGAACAAGCTGATCTACTGAAATACATTGCTGAGGGGAGCAGCAGGCAAGACAGGAGAGGTCTGCTGCGCCATGGGGGTCAGCTCCCTGGCTGGGGATCGAACTCATGCTGCAGTATCTGGCGGTAACTTCAAAGCACTGAGACTTAACCGCTTGCACCCCCAGGGAGGCCTCCCACACCCTTCACCTTCTAATAATAGGCCCCTCCGACCTGTGCCACATCTGGACCAATAAGAGAAATTCTGAGATATTTCTCTTTTTTTCTTTGTTAAGATTTATTTATGCATACTAGAGCTGGGGTACAGGCCAGAGGTGGGGGGATGAGAGGAGTCACCAGAGACAGAGTGGGGAGCAGGACGGGCAGACTGGCCGAGGTACACTGCTGAGGGGAGCAGCAGAAGAGACAGGAGAGGTCTGCCGCGCCACATGGGTATCTCCCTGCCCGGGGATCGAGCTCATGCTGCAGAGGCTGCGGACAGCTTCATAGGAAGGCCCTTTCCTCCCCGAGCCCCTGCATCGCGGCAGCCACGTGAGTACACGGGAAGGCACAGTCGCGGCCCACCCGGGACAACTCCCGCCTTCACTCCCGCCCGCGGCCCTCCGGCTCGGCTCCGGCGTCGCCCCTCGGCGGGCGCCCGGGTCCCGGGTCAGACGAGCGCCGGCTCTGGCCAGGCGCCCACCCAGCTCCTCGCGCGCCCACCCGAAGCCGCGGGCGCGTGGCTTGTGAGGCAGCTCGGGCGGCCGCCGGCGAGCGCTGAGGTCGAATGTCGCGGGAGCTGGCCTCGCCCCCCACCCGCGACCTCGCGGCGCTGCTCCGCGCTCCTCCCGCGCGGGCGCCCGCAGGCGGCTCTCGCGGCCCCGCCCCGCAGCCCCTCCGGCCGCTCCCGCCGCGGAACCGGGCTTGAGTCTCATTGGGCGCTGCCGGTCACATGCCCGTCAGTGAACCAATCACAGGGCCAGGGCGAGTGGGCTGCACCGATTGGCTGGGCTGGCCAGGGGGCGGGGCCCCAGCGGGAGGGCTGGCTCTCCTCGCGCTCCGGAGTGACAGGTGGAAACAGCTTCAAGTCCACGGCGGTGTCGCTGGGCCCTCCCTGAAGGGCAAAAGCCTTGCTATCCTCTAACCTATTTGCAGGCACTGTTCTAAGTGTTTACATATAAAATTGAATTTAGTGGGGCCTCCCAGGGGGCGCAGCGGGTTGAGTGCAGCGCTGTGAAGCTGTCCGCAGACTCTGCAGCGCGGGTTCGATTCCCGGCCGGCCAGCGACAGTCCCACATGGCGCAGCAGACCTCTCCTGTCCCTCCCCCAGCTCCCCTCAGCAGTGTTTTCAGTCCTTCTGCCTGTTCTTCTCCCTGCTCTGTCTCTGGTGAATCCTCTCACCCTCCTGCACCTCTGGCCTGTACCCCAGCTCTTGTATAAAATTAATAAATCTTTAAAAAAATGAATTTAGTGATCACACAATCTCACAAGATAATCCCCATTTTATAGATGAAGAAATTGAGCTCCAGAGTTAAGTTACTTGTCTGAGATGTTACTTGTCAGATTTTTTGCCCCTGAGCTACAGAGAATCAAGATATGAAATGGCCCAAAGGAATACTCCACAAATATTTCATTCATCCCTTTGCTTAACAAATGTCTCTGTTGGATAAATATTGGTCACCAACAACAGGACAAGCACTGTTCTTTAGTGCTGGCAATAGTTCAACAGACAAAACAGACTTAAGCCAATACCCTCAATGCAGTGCACATTCTCCTGGAAGAGACAGCCAGTAGGTGATAAATGATAAGGAAGTGAATTATCTGTTCTGTTAGATGAGTCATATAAATAAGAGGGTGGGAGAGGCTTGCAGTTTTGTGGGTTTTTTTTAAGATTTATTTATTTATACATACAAGAACTGGGGTACAGGCCAGAGTTGTGGGAGGTGAGAGGATTCACCGGAGACAGAGTGGGGAGCAGAACAGGTGGACTGACTGAAATACACTGCTGAGGGGAGCAGCAGACAAGACAGCAGAGGTCTGCTCTGCCATGTGGGTCAGCCCTGGTCGGGGATTGAACTCATGTTGCAGTGGCTGGCCTAGCTTGATAGCCTGTGTCTTTAACCCCCGTGCCATCAGGGAGGTCCCAGTCTTGCAGTTTTATATGGGCTGGTCAGGGTAGCCTCACTGAGAAAATGGGATTTGAGCAAAGACATGCAGGAGGTAGGGGGTGAATGAATATCTGTGAAAGACTGTTCCAGGCCAAGGGACAAACAGTTGAAACAGGGCCTTTGCATAGTGATCTAGGTTATTCATGACATATTAATAAGAAATGAGGGGCCTCCCCTGGTGGTGCAGCGGTTGAGCGCTGGGCTGTGAAGCTGCCCACAGCCTCTGCAGCGCCAGTTTGATCCCCGGCCGCCGGCGAGGGTCCCACATGGCACGACAGACCTCTCCTGCTGCCTGCTACTCCCCTCAGCAGTGTATTTCGTCAAGTCTGCCTGTTCTGTTCCCCACTCTGGCTCTGGTGAATTCTCTCATCCTCCCGCGCTTCTGACTGTACCCAGTGCTTGTATAAATAAATAAATAAATCTTTAAAAAAAAAAAAAAGAAAAGAGGCTGAAACACTGAAAAGGTTTCTACTCAGGGTTTGCTGTATCACTCCAGCTTCAGGGCAGAGGGCTTGAGAATTGCTGTTTGTAGGGCTAGAACTCTCTTCGGGCTCTCTTCGGGGTCTAGAGGCGAAGCATACATCCACTGTCCTTGCCCTTCAGAATCACTAAATCTAAGGGTCCCTGAGGCTTAGGCAGACATGGTGCCTGCCACCACCACCCCCAGCCCCACATCTGAAGTGTTGGCCCATCTATGTTCCAGGAAAAGGAACACAAATCTGGAAGAAGAAAGGAGTCATCTATGAGGGAGACTGGAAGTTTGGGAAACGAGATGGCTATGGCACCCTCAGCGTTCCAGACCCGGAGACAGGAAAGTACGTGAGAGTGTACTCAGGCTGGTGGAAAGGCGATAAGAAATCGGTGAGTGATGAGTAAGCCAGGCTGAAAGCAGGCCTCCCATGCTTTCATGTGTGGGGTGCAAAAGTCAGGCCTGGGAGAAAGGGGAGGAGGTCTGGGAGGGGAGTAGTTACAGGGTTGCTGTGTGGGTGGGAGAAGGAAGGGGTGGGGAATCTAAAGCCTTCTCAGAACAAAAGCCAGGAAACAGGAAGCCAGAGGAGAGGGCGCAGGGAGGCGCCCAAGGAGCCCCGTGGCTACCAGAAGCCAGCCAGGCAGTGTGGGGCAGTCTCCTCCCTCCTCATCCCCGCTCATTTCCTGGCCTTCTTTTCCCTGGCTCTCCCTTTTCTGAGAACCTTTCTGTTGGACCTGGGTGAGGGGGAGTAGGAAAAAAGGGAGCAAGAAAGCACAGGTCATCTTGCCCTTCCTTGGCCACAAGACCAGAAAGGAAGGCCCCGAGGGATCGGAGGAAGCCAGAGGCACGTCCTTAACCCATAAATGCCCAAGCTGGGGTCACGTTCCTTCAGGTTTCTCTAACAAACTTGAATGAAGTCTCGCCATCGGCCATGGAGACATAATAAGGTAGTACTGCCACTCAACAACACCATCATTCTCATCCTCATTTTACTGATGAGAAACAAGCTCAGAGTGATGAAGTGCCTTGGGTGGGTTGTACCCCTAACATGTAAGAGTCCAGGGTTTTATGATTTCTGCCCTCAAATTGTTTACTAGCTAGTGGGTGGGGGGAGATAGATCCCAGAATAAACAACACATATGATAGAGTGTTAGGTTAGAGGTTTTCAAGAGGAAGGTCATTGAGAATTCAAGGCAGGCTTCCTGTAGGAGGCGATACCAAAATATCCAAGGAGTTACCCAGTGGGGAAAAAGAAGGGGACTTAGCAAAGGAAACAGAAGTCGCAAAGGGAAGGAGATGACAAATAGCAAGGGGGGGGGTGAGAAGAGGGGTAGGGGGGGCCTTGAAGGCTAGGTGGGGGATCTGGATGGGGGTGGGTAGACTTGGGCAGCTTAACCCAACCTCCCAGGTATGACCTTCGGGGGTGCGGGGAGAGTTGGATGATTCTCTATGGTGCTAAATGTGATGTTTCTACCATTTTTCTACCCTATAGTTTTGATAGGATTCTCACAGATATCTGCAGTTTTTAATGGGGTCAAATCAGAGTTGGGGAGACGCAGCAATCAAGATGGCGATTTAGCTTGTGTGGAGAACGCAAGGCGGGAATGGGAGGGGGAAGGGGCCTGCGAGGAGACGCGAGGGGCTGCCCGAAGGCGGGCGCGGGGGGCTGGAGGGCGGGACCCGGAGCGCTCAGCCGCAGCCCGCGGCGGGAGGAGGACGGAGCCCAGGGGTGCGGGCGGGTGGGGGGAGCAGGGGGCGCTGCCTTCGTGCTGGCGGCGCCACGAACAGAGTCACCTTTGTGTTTCCAGGGTTATGGGGTCCAGTTTTTTGGGGCGAAGGAGTATTACGAGGGTGAGTGGTGCGGCAACCAGCGCAGTGGATGGGGCCGCATGTACTACAGCAACGGGGACATCTTCGAAGGCCAGTGGCTGAACGACAAGCCAGACGGGGCGGGCATGTTGCGTCAGAGTGAGTCCCCGCCCCGCCCCGCCCCGCCCCGCCCACAAGGCCTGCTGACCCCGCCCACCAACCCCAGCCCCGCCCCTGGCCACACCCACATCCCTCCCAGCCCCGCCCCGCAAGGGACCACACCCCGGGCCCCCTGTGTGGCTTAAGGTGACTGAGAGGCCCAGGTCCCTGGCCTTGAAGAGCTTATGCTCTACAATGGAAGCCTAACAATAAACATGCACAACTGGGGCGATTTCTTATCGTCGTAATAATCACGGCCTGCAATTTGACAACACTGAGCTCACTAACACCTCCCAACAATCTAAGGTTGGCACCGCTACCAGCCCCATTTTACAGATGAACTGAGGCACAGAGAGGTTAAGTTGCTGGCTCGAGTCACACAGCCTGATAATTGTGGGGTCAAAAAAAGTACTAAGGAATTCACCTTGAAAACAGGAAGGTGTGGTCCTAATGAGTTTATTAAATAATCTGAATTTTAAAATAAAACTTGCAGCTTATGAGAAAATTAGGTCTTCGATAAACCAGTTGGGTGCTTAAAATAAACTATCTTTGCATCATAAAACAAATACAAAAATGAGATACAAATGTTGACTGTTAGTAGTTATTTTCACAGGTTAAGACCTTAGAGTTATACATATTACAGATGAATGGACTAAGCAACTAAGTAAGAACTAAGAATTGGCCTATGATTTTAAATATACAATTTGTTCCTATAAATCTTGTCAATAAAAGTAATAAAGAAAAAAAACAGGAAGGTGTGTGAGAAAATGACAAAGGAGTTAGGGGCAGGGGATATTTGGATTTGTCAGGGAATGCCTCCCGAAAGAGGCGTCATTCTCCATCTGAAAGACCTGGATTTTCACTGAGCTGGGGAAGAGGCTTCCCAGGCCCAGGGAAGAGTAAGAGGTGTCCACACTAGTGTCAGGCTTTAACCCCCTCTCTACATAGCGATCAGAGTGAACTTTATACAAGCGAATGTTGCCGCTGCCCTGCTTTCAACCTTTGTACAGCTCCCTGTTGCCCTTACCGAATTCAGAGCCCTTACTGGGGTCCATGAGGCCCAGCATGATGGGGATCCCCTCCAGCCTTGCTCCCACCTCTCTTGAATGCCTCTTTAACACCTCTCCCCTGAACTCACTTGGTTCAGTCAGTATATACTAACATTCTCTCAGTTACACCCTCAATTTCTGCCTCAGGGCCCTTGAACTGCTGGTCTCTCTTCCTGGAATAAAAATCTCTGCACTATCTGCTTCTCAGAGGCCTTCCCTGTCCATTCCACCTAAAGCACTTTTCCCCATTATTCTCAGCACCGGCTTCCTTTCCTTCTTAACACTTAATGCCAGGCGGGGCCTCCCTGGTGGTACAAGGGGTTAAGCACAGCACTATGAAGCTGTTCATAGCCTCTGCAGCACAAGTTTGATCCCCAGCCTGTCAGGGAGATACCCACATGGCGCAGCAGACCTCTCCTGTCTCGCCCACTGCAGTGTTTTCAATCTGCCTGTTCTTCTCCCCACTCTATCTCTGGTGAATCTTTTCACCATCCTGCACCTCTGGCCTGGACACCGGTTCTTGTATGCATAAATAAATAAATCTTTATAAAAAAACACTTAAACAGGTGGATCATCTTGGGTGAGATACTTTGCCTCTCTGTGCCTCACGTTCCTCGTCTGTAAACCAGGAACAACAGACACCTGCCCACTTCATCAGGCAGTACTGAGGATTAGAAAAGGGAGTCAGTCTGTGTAAGTGCTCAGAGCAGGGCCTGGCACATAGTACGCTCTCTATAAAGCTGGTATCATTTTTTTAAAAGATTTGTTTATATAAGAACTGGGGTATAGGCCAGAGATGCGGGAGGGTGAGATAATTCACCAGAGACAGAGAGGGGAGCAGAACAGGCAGATGGACCAAAGACACTGCTGAGGGGAACAGTGGGCGAGACAGGAGAGGTCTGCCGCGCCATGTGGGTATCTCCCTGGCCAGCTGGGAATTGAACTCGCATTGCAGAGGCTGCGGACAGCTTCACAGTACTGTGTTCAACTGGCTGCGCCACCGGGGAGGCCCAAAGCTGATATCATTATCCCACCGGATTGGGAGTGGCAGCAGGACCAGGTCTGTGTCTGTTTTGTTCCCCACTGTTTCCCCACTCCCTGGTACATAGTAGGTGTTCTGGGTGAGGGCATGCACCAGAGCCCAGTCTCCTGCAAACTAAAGATTCCAACTTTTCACCAGGCACTACAGTGCCCCACAGTAGGAGGACTGGAGATGCATCTTTTTTTCAGATTTTTTTTGTTTATTTATGCATACGAGAGCTGGGGTGCAGGCCAGAAGTGCAGGGTGGGGTATGTGAGAGGACTCACCAGAGACAGAGTGGGGAGCAGAACAGGTGGATCCACTGAAACAAAGTGCTGAGAGGTGCAGCAGGCAAAACAGGAGAGGTCTGCGGTGCCATGTAGGTCAACTCCTTGGCTGGAGATCGGACTCATGCTGCATTGCTGTTGATAGTGTCATAGTACTGAGACTTAGCCCCTTGTGCCACCAGAGAGGTGCCCTGGAGATGCATCTTTTCTTATGGTCTGGACTATGGAGCCACCCTGCCTGAGTTCAAATCCTGGCTCAAACCCTTATTGTGAGCTCAGCATTTTGCCTCAACTTTGGCCTCAGTTTTCTCATCTGTAATATAAGGATAAAGATGAAACTTAACTAAGGTTATTGTGAAGATCAAACAAGATTTGTATTTGTAAAGTGCTTAGCGGATGCCTGACACTGTAATAATAATGACATTACTACAACAGCTCATACTTGGATATAGCAGGGATCAGCAAACTCTGGCCCCTGGGCCAAATCCAACCCAACATGTTTTTGTAAATAAGTTTTATTAGCACAGAGACTTGTTTATCATTTACATACTGTCCTTGGCTGCTTTCTTGCTCCAAAGGCAGCACTGAGTAGCCATGGCAGACATCCCATGACCCACAAAAACAAACATACTTATTCCGTGTCCATTTACAGAAAAAGCTTCCTGGCCTCCGATCTCAGGTTTATTTAGTGCTCTTCTAAATCTTTCCCCTGTCTCCACTTTTTTAATCTTCACAGTTCTACAAGGTGAGTACAACTGTTATTCCCGTTTTACAAATGAGAAAGTGAGCCAAAATGGTGACGTGACCTGCTCAAGTTCACACGGCTCGGAAGTGTCAGAGCCGAGCTGTGTTACCTTTATTATTACTTTTATAACACCACCTTCTTCAGATGAAAAATAGACTTGATTGGTGATGAAAGTGTGGGCTCCTGGTGTGAACTGGTTTCAAATCCCGCCTCTCCACCTCCTGACTGTGAACTTCAGTGAGTCCATCCGATCCCCTGAGCTTTTCCAGCGCCAGCTGGACAGTAGAGGCTCTCACCCTTTGTAGCGAGCACGGTTCCTGTGAGGAGTCAGTGAGCTAGAACCAGTCAGATAAGTGCTGGAAACACTGCCCATTGTTTTATTAGCTACATCTTTTGCAGGAAGAATAAGATGCTGAGAGTTGCTTGTCGAAGTTCAGGGAAGCAGCGGAGGCGTGAGCTTGGTCTGAGTCTGGACGTCCCTGGCCACCCAGTTGTCCTAGACCCTTTTCCACCCAGCCGGCCCAGCTCACTGTAGCCAAGCTGGTTTTCTTCTGGCTTCTGAGTGACATGGTGCAGGTGCAGGTGCAGGCGGCAGCATGGTGGAGGAGCCAGCCTGGTTGTTTGCTGGTTCACGGTGCCCCAAACCCACACCTCCCTGTCTCCCTCCAGAGAATGGGAACCGCTACGAGGGCTCCTGGGAGAGAGGCATGAAGAACGGGTCGGGGCGTTTCTTCCATCTGGACCATGGTCAGCTCTTTGAAGGCTTCTGGGTGGACGATGTGGCCAAGTGTGGCACCATGATTGACTTTGGCCGTGATGAGGCCCCTGAGCCCACCCAGTTCCCTATTCCTCAGGTGAGCAGCCCTCACCAGGGCTCGGTAGCCACACCCAGAGACGGAGAGAAAACAGCACCCCCCCACCCCCAGCCACACCCAGCCTGTTCGGGCCCAGCCCAGCCAGAGAACAGACAAGGTTTTGTTTTCAGTCAGGTGATCCCCAGAGTCAGGCAGCACTGCATGAGGCTTGCAGCACCCCCTAATGCTGGCAGCCTGGGTCTTCCATGCTCCCCAGCCCAACACCTGGCTGCTTCCCTACAGGTCAAACTGCTGGACCCTGACGGTGTGCTGGAAGAAGCCATGGCCATGTTTAAGAAGACAGAGAAAGAAAGAGATTGATGCCAGGTGAGGGGCGGGCACACGGCCACCCTCTGACTTGGTCAAGGCAGCTCCTAGCCCTGGAGTCCTTTGGCCAAGGGCAGTAGCAGAGGGGGAGTCTTGCCTCCTGGAGCACGCAGCTGGTCCACTTGGCTCTCGTCCTTTCAAAACTCGCTTCCCAGTTTGTTCCAGAGCTGCCCAATCTGCCCATGTGCACCTGGGCTTATGGGTGGAACACCGGCTCAGAGCCAGGGGCACGTTCTTTCCTGGATGCCCTTGACAGCTGTCCAGCCCCAACCCCTCCTGAGTGTGGGTATATGTGGGCTTCCAGGAGAGTATCGGTATAGCACCGCCCCTAGCCCTAGCAGAGAGAGCCCCAAAGCATCAGGAGTCATGGGACTCACCCAACCGCTCAGACCAGTGTGGCTCCCGCGAGAGCAGCTGGTGGTGGCAGCGACTCCGGGCACACCCTCAGTGCCCTCCGAGGGCACATCACCCTCCAGTACTGGCCCATTTGCCAATATGGTTTCAGTGGCTTTCCCCACCATGGCCTTGGGGACCTCGTTACCGCCATCATTCTAGGACTCCACTCCAAGTGTGTGAGAATAAAGGAGAACCCGGTGGCATTCGCCTGGGCCTGTGGGGCCAGATCCGGGGGAGGGGGTGGGGGATCCGGAGGGATTTCAAGCAGAGAAGATGGAAGGAATGCCCATGGACTGGGTGAACTGACCTTGGAGAGAAAGGGGTATGCCAGAGGGGGCGCCTCGTCTACACACCGGCCACCTGGACTGGGTGTCAAAACCTGACCTGGCTACTCAACCCAACCCAGGTTCTCAACCCCTGAATCCTGAGGGAGCTTTAAAAACCAAGAACACCTGGGACCCACACCCAGATCCTCATCTGGGCGAAGTGAGGCCTGCGCCTTCAGAAAGATCCCAGGGTGATTCTAGTGTGCAATGGGGGAAGAGGGAAGAACCCCTGACTGAGCAGATGACCTCAGTTTCCCCATCTGTAAGATGAATTTGGGAGCTCTCATGGAGGCAGGGGTTGCGGATTTGCGATCAGATGTAATGGCGGACACCATGTGTTGAGGTTAAATTGTGAGCCGGACTGGGGAAGGGCCTTGGCTCTATCTGATGTAGACAACATTCCTGCGAGGTAGAAGTACCTCGCAGGTAGAAGTACCTCTTTGATAATGGTAGACGCTGGAGCTCTGCTGTCAGACTGCTGGGTGTGAATCCTGGGGGCGATTTGGTAGCTGTCTGTTCTCGGGGATGTCACTCGACCTCTCTGTTCCCTGGTTTTCCTCACCTGTAACATGGGACAGCAACGGTACTTCCACCAGGGGTACTGTGCAGGCAAAAGAAAGCGTGGGTCCACCCTTTCTAGCTCGGGGGCATTAGGCAACTCCTGGAGACTTTTCTGGTTGTCACAACTGGCTAAGGAGGGCGGAGGCTACTATCGTGCAGTGGGTCAAGACTGGGGAGACCCAACATCTGCGACAATTCACCCCAAGTCAGCAGTGTTGAGGGCAGGTGCCCCTGAAATAGTGACACCTGCAAGGTCCCAGCAAAGGTCTGGCACAAGGGATTCCACAAGCGCTCACTGTTGCTGTTGCGGTTCCCCCCACCCCGCTAAACCCTTAGCCAGATGGCCTGACCCCAAGATGTGATCCTGTCGTACCAATGACGCCAGAAGTCTAGCCTGCCTGCGCTGTGACGCAAGCATGCACAGCAGGGCCCCGGGCTGACAGCGCCCCCCCCCCCCCCACCTTGCAAGCTGTCCTGCTGTAACTAATGCCAGTTTAGAGCAGGAAATTGGGGTTCAGCTCAGCGAGGCTCACAAGTCACCAGGCGCTTGTACCTCTACGTAGGCCTATCTGCCCTTAAGGCCCGGAAGCAGCTGTTTAGGGGACAATTTTCCTGCAAAAGCTGCGGGTGTGTGCTTGTTTATGTTCAACATTTCTCAAGGTGGGAACACAATAAACTGGCAACAGTGCTTGTCTCTGGGGATAAGGAGGACCTGGGATGGGGGAGGGGCAACTAAGTACCGTTTCTGTTGTATTTGGAACTGTGTGAATATATTATGTATTCAAAATATAAATAAAACTGAAATTCAAGAGATTGTATTGTTAACTTGTGTTCCCTTAGTTGCCTGGGTTTGCATGTACCTGGAGTGCTTGTTTAAAAAAAGATTCCAGGGCCTCCCCTGGTGGCGCAGCGGTTGAGCGCTGGGTTCCAAAGCTGCCCGCAGCCTCTGCAGCGCCGGCTCAATCCCCGGCTGCTCCCCGGCCACCGGAGGAGGGTCCCACATGGCGCGTAGACCTCTCCTGCCGCCTGCTGCTCCCCTCAGCAGTGTACTTCAGTCCTTCTGCCTGCTCTGCTCCCCGCTCTGGCTCTGGTGAATTCTCTCACCCTCCCGCGCTTCTGACTGTACCCAGTCCTTTGCATAAATAAATAAATAAATAAATCTTAAAAAAAATAAAAAAAGATTCCAGGGGGCCTCCCTGGTGGTGCAGGTGGTTGAACGCCCCACTGTGAAGCTGTCCCCAGCCTCTGCAACGCGGGTTCAATCCCGGCTGGCCGGCGAGGGTCCCACATGGCAAAGCAGACCTCTCCTGCCTCGCCCACTGCTCCCCTCAGCAGTGTATTTTATCAGTCTGCCTGTTCTGTTCCCTACTCTGTCTCTGGTGAATCCTCTCACCCTCCTGCGCTTCTGGCCTGTACACCGGTTCTTGTATAAAAACAAAAAAAAAATCTTTAAAAAAAAAAAAAAAAGGATTCTAGGGCCTCCCTGATGGCGCGACCCACACAGCGCAGCAGACCTCTCCTGTCTCCCCGCTGCTCCTCTCAGCAGCTTATTTCAGTCAATCAGCCTGTTCTGTTTCCCACTGTCTGTGGTGAATCCTCTCACCTCCCACACCTCTGGCCTGTACCCCAGTTCCTGTATTCGTAAATAAATAAATCTTTTTTTAAAAAAAGAAAAAAAAAAAAAGATTCCAGAGATAAAGTCAACTTGAACTAGAATCCCGGGTTGGGAAATCGGCATTTAACAAGCCAATCTGGTGACTCTTGAGTTCAGGTAAGAAAGCCTCACGTAGGGCCTCCCTGGTGGCGCAGCAGTTGAGTGCTGGGTTGTGAAGCTGCCCGCAGCCTCTGCAGCGCTGGTTCGATCCCCGGCCACCGGGTGAGGGTCCCACATGGCGCGCAGACCTCTCCTGCCGCCCGCTGCTCCCCTCAGCAGTGTGTTTCGTCAGTCTGTCTGTTCTGCTCCCTGCTCTGGCTCTGGTGAATTCTCTCACCCTCCCACACTTCTGACTGTACCCAGTGCTTGTATAAATAAATCTTAAAAAAAAAAAAAAAAAAAGAATTGCAATTGACTGTAAAACACCAAATATGTTTAAATTTATCCATTCTTACCAATACTTAAAGAAAATAAATGATCACTTTAAAAAAAAAAAAAAAAAAGAAAGCCTCACGTAGCCTCCCTGGTGGCACAGGGTAAAATCTCAGCACTATTAAGCTATTGCCAGGCACCGCACGCGAGTTCGATCCCCGTCAGGGAGCTGAACCACGTGGCTAGGCAGACCTCTCCTGTCTCCCCACTGCTCCCCTCAGCAATGTATTTCAGTAGATACACCAGTTCAGCTCCCCTTTGTCTCTAGTGAATCTTCTCACCCCCCTGTGCCTCTGGTCTACACCCCAGTTCTTGTATGCATAATTTTTTTTTTTAAAGATTTATTTATTTATACAAGCACTGGGTACAGTCAGAAGCGCGGGAGGGTGAGAGAATTCACCAGAGCCAGAGCAGGGAGCAGAGCAGGCAGAAGGACCGAAGGACACTGCTGAGGGGAGCAGCGGGCGGCAGGAGAGGTCTGCGTGCCATGTGGGACCCTCGCCCGGCGGCCGGGGATCGAACTGGTTCTGCAGGGGCTGCGGGCAGCTTCGCAACCCAGGGCTCAACCACTGCACCACCGGGGAGGCCCCATATGCATAAATCTTAAAAAAAGGAAAAAGCAAGGTTCATAAGTCACAGCCCAGGAATTACTCCAGCTGGATCCCAGGTCTCTGAGAGCAAGGAGGTGGGTATCTTAGAGAAAAGCATGGGTCATGTTCAACTCTCTGGGCTGTACTGAAGGGCTTGGCGGTGGTGGTCGTGGGGAAACCTTACCCAGTTCTATTCTGTCCCAGAGGGTCACTCAGACACAGGGAATGGGTGGGTCCTGGGGTCTGTGAAACAGGATGGAGGCAAGAATGTGCAACAAGGAAAAGGTGCTGCTGTTGGCTTTAGCCAAGTCTGTTCAGGATAAGGTCTTAGGGTCACAATTTCTCCAGCAATGTTCACTTGAGCCAGAGCGCTGTATAAAACCACTTTCTAAAATGAGTTTCTGGGACAGAATTGGCAGAATTGGCAGCCAGCCTGCAAGTAACAGATGAAGTTGGTTGGTGTAATACAAGAGGGAGTGGTGGGGCCTGTGGCAAATATATATCCCCAGGGAGCGAGCAGGTGGGGCAACTCATGTTCACTGTTGTTCTGCTAGAAGATGGACCCAGTACTATTGCTGCTGGATCTTCCGATTACTTAACCAAAGTGAGAATCAGCGCCCACGTAAGTTTTGGTGAGTGCCCAGGCTCTAATCCAGACTTTCTAGGTTCAAATTCTGGCCAATTACTTAACCCATGGGCATGCCTGTTGCCATCTACAAAACAGAGATAAATATTCCTGCCAAAATGCACAACCACCTGATTGTAATAATGAAAAAATATCAGAGAAGGGCCTCCCCGGTGGCGCAGCGGTTGAGCACGGGGTTGCGAAGCTGCCCACAGCCTCGGCAGCGCCGGTTCGATCCCCGGCTGCTCCCCGGCCACCGGAGGAGGGTCCCACATGGCGCGCAGACCTCTCCTGCCGCCCGCTGCTCCCCTCAGCAGTGTACTTCGGTCCTTCTGCTTGCTCTGCTCCCTGCTCTGGCTCTGGTGAATTCTCTCACCCTCCCGCGCTTCTGACTGTACCCAGTGTTTGTATAAATAAAAATAAATAAATCTTAAAAAAAAAAAAAAGGGGCCTCCCCAGTGGCGCAGCGGTTGAGCGCTGGGTTGCGAAGCTGCCCGCAGCCTCTGCGGCGCCGGTTCGATCCCGGCTGCTCCCCGGCCACCGGAGGAGGGTCCCACATGGCGCACAGACCTCTTCTGCCGCCCGCTGCTCCCCTCAGCAGTGTCCTTCGGTCCTTCTGCCTGCTCTGCTCCCTGCTCTGGCTCTGGTGAATTCTCTCACCCTCCCGCGCTTCTGACTGTACCCAGTGCTTGTATAAATAAAAAAATAAAAAAATAAGTAAGTAAATACATAAACAAACAAATAAAAAAAATCTTTAAAAAAAATAAAAATAAAAATAAAAAAATATATATCAGAGAAACTGGGCCTTCCCTGGTAGCGCAGGTGGCTGTGCGCAGCGCTCTGAGGCTGTCTGCAGCCTCTGCAGTGCCTGTTCAATCCTGGCTGGCTGGCGAGGGTCCCACACGGCACAGCAGACCTCTCCTGTCTCGCCCGCTGCTCCCCTCAGCAGTGTATTTCGTCAGTCTGCCTGTCCTGTTCCTCGCTCTGTCTCTGGTGAATCCTCTCACCCTCCTGTGCATCTGGCCTGTACCCCGGTTCCTGTATAAATAAATAAATAAATCTTTAAAAAATATATCAGAGAAACCAAACTTAGGGGGTATTCTACAAAACCACAGACCTGGACTCTTCAATAATGTCAATGTTACAAAAGACAAAGTCATTCTAATGAGAGGCAACTGAAGAGACCAAACAATGCAATGTGTGATCCTGGGTGGGAAAAAAATCTGCTGGAAAGCATGTGTTCGGGACACGGGGAAAGTGATCACGAACTCTGTAATTAGAGAGGAGTATTGCATCAGATTTCCTGATGAATTGTAGTTATGGAGGGGAACGTGGATCGTTTGAGGAGAAACTGCTTAGGTATGAAGGATGAGATCTGCAATGAGCGCTGTAGGGTAAGGTAAAAGTATCAGGCTTTTCTGCCCTCCTGCCATTAGGATAGATGAGGGAACCCCGTGGTCCTGAATGCATGCCTGATGGCAGACATCTAGAGTAGGGTGTGGGCATAGGTAGATGGGATTCACCTGGGCTGAGACTGGTCTTTTGAAGGGCGGCATCACGGGGACGCCAGCAGAAGCAGAGAAGCAGAAGCAGAACCATGACAGAATGCCGGAGAGCCCAGAGTGAAGACTTGCTGGGGCCTGGGAGGCCTGCCAGCCTCCCGGCCCCCCAGCACCCCTACCTGCTGTGTGCCTGGTAAATCCCAATAAAAGCCTGCAAAAGCCACTGAGGGCTCCAGGACTCTTTCCTCCTTTACCCCGTCTGCTGGAACAGACAACCTGCACTGTGCCCAATCCTGCCTCTGCAAGCGCTTATGGCTCGGGGTGGTGGTGGGGGGGTTGTTGATGTTTTAAGGATCTCACTATTCAGTTTCAGAGTGTGCCCATCTGCCTACCTACTGAGTTCCGACAAGGTGATCCCGCCATCTTGTTTGAGCTCTCACACCATAACTGAGGGCCATTTAGGGCCATGTTTTTCACATTTTTGTGCTGATGTTGGTAATTTCCCTGTTTGAAAGGGTCCCCAGGGGTTGCGTGAGGCAGTGTTGCGCGCCCCAGGACTGATGGGAGGGGTGTTAGAGAAAGCGTTAGGTAAACTATGCTCAGACCTGAGTGACAGGGTCATGAGTTCAATGCTGACGAGTGAACCACATACATTAAGTAAGCTGTCTTTAAACAGAAACACATAAACTAAGCATCCATGTTAACAGGTTGATGAGAACCCCGAGACTGCAGGCTCCTGGGGCCCTGGCTCCCTATCTCAGTCCCGGGGTTCCATTACTGCCAGCATGGTGTCCATGTGACTTGACAGGACAAAACTACTGCAAGTCACAAGAACGGGCGGTCTACTTCAGTTACTGTTCATGCAACTTTTTTTTTTTAAAGATTTATTTATTTACACAAGCACTGGGTATAGTCAGAAGCATGGGAGGGTGAGAGGATTCACCAGAGCCAGAGCAGGGAACAGAACAGACAGTCCGACAAAATACACTGCTCAGGGGAGCAGCGGGCGGCAGGAGAGGTCTGTGCGCCATGTGGGACCCTTGCGGTGGCCGGGGATCGAACCGGCGCTGCAGAGGCTGCGGGCAGCATTGCAGCCCAGCACTCAACCGCTGCGCCACTGGGGGGAGGCCTGCAACTTTCCTTTTTTAAGATTTATTTATCCATGCATACAAGAGCTGGGGTACAGGCCAGAGGTGTGTGAGGGTGACAGAATCCACCAGAGACAGAGTGGGGAACAGAACAGGCAGACTGACTGAAATACACTGCTGAGGGGAGCAGCGGGGAGACAGGAGAGGTCTCCTGCATCATGTAGGCTGCTCCCTGGCCGGCTGGGAATCAAACTCGCGCTGCAGAGGCTGCGGACTGCCCCACAGCACTGTGCTCAACCCCTTGCGCCACCAGGGAGGTCCTTCATGCAACTTTTTTGTAGGTTTGAAATTTCTCAAAATGAGAACAGACACCAGGAGAAATAATACTAGGAAGCCCCGACTCCACAAACATACACAAGAGGGGGTGTCCCTTATGAGTGTATTTGTGCACGCACACACTCGATGCTGAATGGGGGCGAGGGGTCAAGACAGACAGGACAGGAAGCACCCGGTGGCACTGGCACGGGGAGAAGGGACAATGGAGTCTCTGTCCCCACTCTGGCTCCCACCGGCAGCCCCCAAACAGGAGGCTTGCCTGGGGCGGAAGAACAGGAAGTGCTTACTCTCCTAGAGGAAAGTTTCAAAGTGCAGTTAATTTCTCTTTTAAAAAAAAAAGCCGCTTCCCTCCACTCACTGCCCCCTGACGGAAGCCCAGCCCCTGCACAGGCTGTCTTCGAGGCCGGGGCAGGACCAGGTCATGGGGAAGGGCGGTTAAGGCCAAAGCTCTGGAAGGCCCAGGTCGGGGTGGGCTTAGGCATAGTGGCTGCCGGGCGTCAGGGGGTGGTCCCCTCTGTGGTCCAGCTGGTCCTGCAAGCGGGCGAACTCGGCCAGCTCGTTGAGCTCCTGGAACTGTCGGTCCGTCTTATGGCTGACCAGTGAGCGGTAGAAGTGGACAGCAAAAACGATGAAGACCAGGCCAAAGGGGACCATGATGGTGGTGGAGGCGATGGCAGCTGCCTGGCCCGGGGTGATGCCTCCGGTGCCACTGCTGCTGACATTGGCGACTGCACCGCCGGCTACAGGCTTGCTGGTGGGCCGCGGCTGACCTGGCTGCTTCTTGAGGGGCAAGAACTTGACCCAGCAGAGCAGCACAACTTCGGCTAGGAAGAGCAATGTGCCGATGACGGTGGAGAAGGCCCAGGCCAGCTCGATGTGGCGGTGCATGCGCTCATGGGGTGACTCCTTGACCGAGTTGAGGTTGTGTACATTGCTGACTGCCTCGATGTTGGGCAGGATGCAGGTGCTGATCATGAGCGCGAACAGGTGCACAGCCACCAGCACCGTGGTGCAGGCGCTGAAGGCGATGAGCAGACCCGGCGGGTAGTCGTGGTCAGCATCCAGCTGCACCTCCACCATGGCCACCTGGGGGGGGAGGGGAGAGGCAGGCTGAGTGCCAGGATGGTCCCCGCCTGTTGAGCTGCACTCCACTCCCGACTCTCCACCCAACAAGGGTTTAAACCCCAGACCGGTCACCTGGGGCCTCCCTGGTGGCACAAGGGGTTAAGCGCAGCACTGTGATGCTGTCCACAGCCACTGCAGCACGAGTTCGACCCCCAGCCAGGAAGCTGACCCACATGGTGCAGACCTCTCTTGTCTCGCCTGCTGCTCCCCTCAGCAGTGCATTTCAGTCAGTCTGTTTATTTTGTTCCCCACTGTCTTGGTGAATCCTCTCACCCCCTGCAACTCTGGCCTGTACCCCAGTTCCTGTGTGCATAAATAAATATGTCTTTTAAAAAAAAAAAGGACCCCAGGCCAGTCACCTGGCCTCTCTGAATCCATTTCTCCCTGTTTATCGGATCTCATTAGACCCACCCAATGTAAGTAGAGAGCACTCGTGAAGAGAACAGACTTGGAGCTCAAGGCCACCTGGACTGAACCCCAGTTTTGCTGCTCGCTAGCTGTGTGTCCTTGGGAAAGTCACTGAACCTGAGTCCAACTTTCTTATTTGTAAAACAGGGATAGTATATTAGTTCACAGGGTTATTTCATTAAACAAGGCTTCCCAGTACATGATAAACACCTCCCAAATAGTAATCAGTGCTGCCACCCAGCCAGGGATTAAAAACCAACCACAAGTCATTAAAATGTAGGTCGTAAATCATAACATTTTATGACAACCTCGAGTAATGCCAATCACTTCCCTGTTGGTCTCACACTCCCACACCCAGGATTTCTCCTTCATGCCCTGCTTTGGGGACCGGGGCAGCGTGGAAAGATGAAGCTCAGGCCTGTTCTGAGAACGCAGCACACCGATCCACACGGAACTGAGAGTCTTCCCAGAAGAGACGGACTCCAGCCAGTGTTCTGGGCTGGACAGTGCAGAAGCCCTGAGGCCCCTGGGCTCACACACTACCAGCTCCCCACTTCCTGGAGACCTGTGGATCCAGGGTCACCAGGGGCACGTTCTGGGCCTACCACCCGCCACTTCTCACTTGGATCTTGCAAATCACCCCCATGTGAAGGAGCCAGCTCACCAGATCTGGGCTGGGAGCAGCAAGCAGAGGGCAGAGTGCCAAGGGTAATAGTATCATTAAGGACAGTGACCTTTTTTAAAGCGTTCCCTATGTACGTGCCAGCCTGGGTGGGGGGGTCTGATACTGAAACATACCCCTCGGCAAGGAACTTCTGAATTCGCCCCTGACCTTTCCTTATTTCTGGGAGACTGGGCTTGGCTCCTTCCTTCCCACAGCTTTCCTGCTGGCCTATAATGCCAGGCCCTGTTCACTTTCATGTCATGTTCCTGTGCCCCTTCGGTGGCCTAGAAAAGCAGTGTGGGGCAGTGGTTTGGGCCATGCGCGCTACCTGGCTTTGAGCCCGGATTTCTGGCTTTGAGGCTGGATGCCTCTGCCCTTTATTAGGCTGTGAGGCTCTGACAAGTTTCTTCAACTTCCTGGGTCTCCTTGTCCTTGTCAGTAAAACGGGAATAATAATACCTGGGCTCAGAGCAGTTGTGAGGGTTGCAATAACCCCTGTAAAACTTGGCGCCTGGCATGACGAAACACAAAGTAAGAGTGAGCTTTATTATCATTACTGTCCAGCTCAAAAACCTTACCCCAAATCCATGGTCTCTACAGGAAATCCTCTGGTGTTTCTGCCCTCCTGCTGGAGGGGTGCACTTGGGCTGAGACAACTAGGGCCTGGGTTCTGGCTTCCTCAGTGGAGACCCCTCCCTACTTCCTCACTTGGGGGACTCCTGGTGGCCTAGCACTATCACCACTACAGCCTGAGTTCAAGCCCTGGCCAGGAAGCTGACCTATATGGCAGAAGAGACCTTTCCTGTCTTGCCCGCTGCTCCCCTCAGTCAATCCACCTATTCTGCTCCCCACTCTGGCTCTAGTGAATCCTTTTACCTCCCCACACTTCTGGCCTGCACCCCAGTTCTTCTATGCAAAAAAAGCAAGCCCTCCTGGGCGCCGTATCTGTGAAAGGTGTAGATATGGCAAGATTAAGATCAAAGGGTGGGGCCTCCCTGGTGGTGCAAGGGGTTGGGCGTTAAGCATCAGCACTATGAAGCAATCCACAGCTACTACAGCACGATTCAATCCCCAACCAGGGAGGTGACCCACATGGTGCAGCAGACCTCTCCTGACTCGCCCACTGCTCCCTTCAGCAGTGCATTTAGTCAATCCACCTGTTCTGCTCCCCACTCTGTCTCTGGTGAATCCTCTTACCCCCCTGACATCTGGCCTACACCCCAGCTTTTGTATGCATAAATAAATAAATCTTAAAAAAAAAAAGATTAAGGTCAAAGGGTAGAGCTGATTTGAGGTTCAACTCCTTTGAAAATCTGGTGAGGGCCTCCCTGGTGATGCAATAGGTTAAGACTCAACCTATGAAGCTATCCAAAGCCATGGCAGCACAAGTTCGATCCCTGGCCAGGGAGCTACCCACACAGCACAGCAGACCTTTCCTGACTCGCCCGCTGCTACCCTCAGCAGTGTATTTCAGTCAGTCTGCCTGTTCTGTTCCCCACTCTCTCTCTGGTGAATCCTCTCACGCCCTGCACCTCCAGCCTGTACCCCAGTTCTTGTATGCATAAATAAATAAATCTTGGGAAAAAAAAAATCTGGTGAGAACAATGGACGCTGTCCTTAAAACACCCAGGTACATATACCCCGAGGACTTTTCAGACAGTTTCAACAGAGCCGCAGACTTTTGCCTAAGAATTAATTCCCAAACTGATGACCATAAACTTTACAGGACTTCAGACTCTTTCAAGTTCATATAAATCTGCGGCCGTGCAATTAGGATTTCGACTCTTTTAAAGATCACTGGTAGTCAAAGGTCAGTCCTAGAATTCTCAAAAAGCTTGGGTGGGGGACGCAGGGCACCAGGAGGGCCACCGGCATGGCAATGGAGAAGACCCTGGTCTCTGCCCCAGGCCTGCCCACGCTGGAAAAGAGGGGCCTTTCCAGCGGGCCAAGCAGCCTGCCAAGCCGAAAATATTTCCTATCTGGCAACTTTTTACAGAAAAAGTTGGTGCCTCCTGCCACCTCCCCACCCCCAGCACTTCCTCTTCCTGTTTTGGCTGCTGCCCCGGAACCTGAAACCAGAGAAGAGACAAACAGGAGAGGCCGCTGCTGCGCTGCCCTCTGCACACAAGCTATTTTTTCACTCACCGGAAATGTCTGCCCGTCAGGTGTATCAGGCCCTGAACTGGGTGCTGGGGCGCACATGGGGGTGGGCGTGTGCAGGTAACACCCCACTGTTCCCTTACCTGGTTGCTCTTCTCTGTGCAGTGAGAAGGGCGCTCTTCCCATAAAGCTGCTGGTGACCTTGGACAACTCTTTCAACCTCTCTGTGCCAGTTCCCACATGGACGCAACAGAGGCCTCCCTTTCAGGGTTATTAGGACTCAAGGCGACAAATAAAAAAGCCCTTAGCAGAAGACCTGGCATAATATAAGCTGGCAACACCAATATGCTTTTATAAATGAGGACATCAGAGAGCTGAGGTCAGCATCCCAAGGGTTACACACTGCTGTAGAGCAGGGGATCTGAACTCATGTCCACTCGGCTCTAAAGCCTGCGTGCAGGGCCTCCCTGACGGTGCAAGGGGTTAAGCATCAGTACTATGAAGCTATCCGCAGCCACTGCAGCACCAGTTTGATCCTCGGCCAGGGAGCTACCCACATGGCGCAGCAGACCTCTCCTGTCTCCCGGCTGCTCCCCTCAGCAGTGTATTTCAGTCAATCTGCCTATTCTGCTCCCCACTCTGTCTCTGGTGAATCCTCTCACCCCCTGCACCTCTGGCCTGTGCCCCAATTCTTGTATGCATAAAAAAAAAAAAAAAAAAAAAAAAAAACCCAACATACAGCCTGTGTGCAAAGGGGGTAACAAGAGTGCTCCCCTCACATGGCCGCTGCTAGAGACTGTCACCCCTGAAATCAGTGCACTGAGGCCCTAAACCCCCAAGGTAAGGGTGTCATCAGGTGGGGCCTTCGGGGGGCAGTGAGGTCATGATGGAAGAGACCCCTCCCACCGCGTGAGGCCTGGGAAGCTGGTCCACCAGATGTGGCGTCTGCTGGCGTCTAAGTCTCAGACTTCCAGCCTCCATTAGTGTGAGAAATAAATGCTGTTTATAAGTTGGCCCACTGTGGTATTCTGTTACAGCCGCCCAAAGGGACAAAGATTGTGGTGGAGGCGATTAAATGAGGTGTTGACCGTGAGCAGTTAACCGAGGGCCGGTCTGCAGGAGGCGCTCCAAAAACCTTAATTACAAAGACAAACTTGGGCTTGAAGTGCAAGAGAAATTGCCTCCAGGCCCTGAGTGCAGGCGGGAGAGCTGTGGGGAATGGGGAGGGGTGAGCCCCCACTCTGGGGAGTCCCAGTCCAAGCCCTACACATGTAGAATATGCCCCCCAAATCCCACCTGGCCAGATGGCCACCTCGGCAGGAGAGACCACCCTGTCACCCCCAGAGGTACCAGGGCTAGAAAACACAGGTCTTGGAGGAACTTGGCCCGGAGACCCCAGAACCGGCCAGCTCGCCTGTGATCTTGGGCTAGGGAGAAGCCGGGCCACTCAACCTGGGCCAGGGGCCTCTGAGGAAGAGGAAGGGGCCTGCGGCCCAGCCCCGGAAGAAACTCCATCACCTCACTGGACCCTACGAATTCCTGGAACTTCCCGCACAGGCTGGCTGCTCACTTCCACACCCGGTCCGGGTCCGGCCACGGGCAGTGTAAAGGAATGATTCAGAGACAGGAAAGGGACAGCTGGCACGAATTGCCGCCCTGATGAAACTGTTCACAGGACTAAGAGCCACTGCTTTTCCAGAAAGCCTCCCACTCGGGAAATCTCCCCCCGGGTATGGAGTGAAGTCAGGGGGGCCTCATGGAATCTGGCAGGCGACTCCCCGGGCCCCAG